CGGTCATTGCACGCGTGCTGAACAAGAATGCTGTATAATGACAGACTAAGAATAACAACATAAACTATAATGATCATTACTTAATGATGTCGTAAGCTAGTATATGTTGTAGTTAACTTTTTATTTTCCTTTGTTTTTGGGTATGCAGCTAGTAATGCCTAATTTAAAAAGTTGAGACAAAAGAGAAATAAAATTACCTGGCCTGAAAACAATCATAAGTGCAGCATAATTATTATAAATTAAGGGCAAAAAAATTTGTATTTTATCTTTCTCAAAAATTAAAGGTTATTTTTGAAATGAATGGTTTGTGGATATTGTTTCCCTTTGTATACTAAAAGATTTTATAGAAGTGCCATGCTTGTGTTTATCAAGCACAATCCTTGCAGCAAGTTATATTCTTTTGGCCATAATGAACATTATATTGCAGTAGTTGACTGGTTTGGCAATCCTCAGCTGGATACAAACAGCAGACTCTGGTTTGTTCCATCACGCGAAGCTGCTGAGAGAAGTGTCATCCAAATTGCCAATCTTTCCCAGCCGCTTGCCACTGCGGTTGATGATGACAAACTGTGGTTTTTAAATTACTCTATGTCATAATGCTCTTGAATAACATCACAAACTCCAGCAACTGGTAGGCATCTGACAAAGAACCCTCACCCGAATTTAAATCTACAGCCGTTCTTCGTCGTTACCTACAACAGCATGGCGTACGATCTGTTTTCAAATCCGATACGACTCTAAGATCGCACGCAGGTGGATCCACGAAAACAAGATAGATTAGTGTATAAGATTCCTTGTGAATGCGGCAAAGTATACATTGGTGTAACAGGAAGGTGCATGCATGAACGGATTAAGAAGCACAATAGGGATGTACGGCTTTCACAAACTCAAACTTTGGCCATCTCTGAACATGCCAATAAGACCGGGCATTATGCGCTCTGGGACAAAGTTAAGTTTACCTAATTTACCAATCAGATCAATAACCAGAGTATAATACCATCAACGGATGTGCTACAACTCACTTGGACTCTGAAGATGACTACCGCGCAGGTTGTCGAAACGTCAGTCACTGTCAACAACAACAGTCCTGTTCAGGACTACGTTTACCCGGATGATCAAACTCAACCTACTTTTGAAAGTTAAGTTTATTGACCGAAACCCTCACTAGTACTCTTGTAGGGTTAAGGAGGCTATCCACATAAGACTTAACCCTAACAACATCAATAGGGACAGTGGAATTAAGATTCCTGAAGCGACAATATGGATTCCAACTGACAATTTAGGAGGACTTCGCATACCCTCTCTTTTTTCTGCCTCCATTTACAATCACACATGACAACCAACCTGTACCACAGTGGACCGCCGAGGGATCAGTTTTTTCCTCTCACAATGCCAACAACGCTTTGGATTATAACCCACCAACCATGAGTGAGGTTTGTGATACACCAACAACTTAACCACAGTGGTACAAATAGTTCGACCAAGTAAATCGACACTATCGCCTGATGAAGACCTGCAGTGTGTGATGGAAACGTCGTGATCAATATCAGAGTGACAATCGTGAGACAAACGATTAAAATTAACCCTTTATACTTGTTGGACCTTTACTTATTGTGTACACAATCAGAGCTTATCCCGGTGTCTGTAACATGAAACACCTAAGAGTATTGCTACTGCCCCATGGATGGGATGCTAGTCCATCACAGGGTTACTCCCAACAGTACGTCGCTGGTATCCATTTATACACCTGGGTGAAGAGACAAAGTGGAACAAAATTTCTTGTCTAAGAATAGGAGATAACATGACGCCAAGGCTTGAGCCACCAACTTCCAGTGGGCAAAGTGGAGCAGAGTTTCTAGTCTTGTACCTTTTTTGTATCCAAGACATTACTAGTCTTGACCAATGACTTCGCGACGTAATTGACCAATCAGATCAATAACGAGAGTATGATACCATCAACTGACGTGATACAACTCACTTTGACTCTGAAGATGACTACCGCATAGGTTGTGGAAACGTCAGTCACCGTCAACAACAACAGTCCTATTCAGGACTACGTTCACCCGGACGATCAAACTCAACCTACTTTTCAAGACATTAGTGGAAAATGCTACAAACTACTGATCTTCAGGTTTGCTGCTTGACATAATAAAATCACATCCATCACACCCATGCATAGTCGAGAAGTTGAAGCCTTAAAACTGCTTTCATTCTATTTTGCTCATAAAACGGGCCATTAAGTCAAGTTTACTTGGCAGGCTGGTTAAGAAAAGTGACCTCCCAAATTGAAGGAAACACAATTATTTTGTGAGGTAAGAAGTGAAAGCAGTCTAAGAGAATAAATGGTTTAAATTTACTCCCAAAATGGATGGTATTCAGGATCCTGTGATAACAATACAATTGACAACCTCTTAATTTTACGTTTATTTATTGACAATAGTTTATAATAATGACCTTATCATAAAACAATACTTATATTTCCCAAGAGTTTTTTTTTGGTTTTTGTGCATTAATTATATCTTCTTTCACAAATGAATATTATTAGAACATTTGCATAACATGCTTGGGTGCTTCTTTCATGTTTAGCAATCAACAAATAGCATCCACAACTTGATGCTTGCATGATGAATATTACCATTTTGTTAAATTTAGTTATAGTTTCAACATGTGATCACCTTTGAAAGGTCATGGTATTTGTTTCATTATGCTGGCCCGGGTTGTTCAAACGTTGGACTGTGTTATCCACCGGATAAAAATCTTTCCAGTGGATAGCATAATAATTATTGGTTTCCCAAATACTTGTCCACTGGATGGTGATTTATCCAGTGGATAGTGTAATGCAGCATTTGAACAACCAGGGCCTGTTAAATAATAAATGAGAAGGATATAATGTGTCTTTCTTGTTTAGAACAACACTTCTTAACTTGAATAGTTTTAACCAATTGGTAAGATAACTCCTCATGTTTCAATACAAACATCTTTGAGAATAACAAAGATGTTGACACAATATAATGTCGAATGAAATCTAAACAATATCTAGATTTCTTTCAATACTTTGTCAACAAGGTTTCCACATTTTAGCCACCAAAATGCTGAAACCTTAACATGATTTTGTGGAACTTGAAGATTTCACATGTCATTAAGTTGCATTATTTAGTGTGCAGCAGGTGGCCAGCTTTGCCCTTTTTAAATAACAAGTAAAAGGGTCCTTATGTAAAGAAAATTTTTGCGTTGAAATTATATTCATTTGATTGTTGTATGCTTGCCACGTTCTAGAGGAACCAAAAGTGTAATTCTTTTCACGCGTGTGCCATATGGGCACTTGACAATCCAAGTGGAGCGCAAGAGGGTATGAAAACTGCAGAGAACGGTAGCAGATCCAGGCCTTCAGATAGTAGGGGTTGGAGGGCTGTCTCAAAAAAAACATTTACTAATGCATGTGTTTTATTCACATGTAAAATAACACTCATTATTATTCATCCCTTCATTATTCACAGGTTTTTTCAGTGGGTCTTTGCAAATTTCTGTTATCGATTTCAACCATTTTTTGCTCACAGGTATTTTCACAGGGTTTTTCAGAGGTGTTTGTTGAGTAATTTTCTCAAACTTTGTTCATAGGTTTTTTCACAGGGTTTTTCAGAGGTGTTTGTTGAGCAATTTTCTCAAAATTTGTTCACAGGTTTTTTCACAGGGTTTTTCACAGGCTTATTTTAGTCACAGGTTTTTTCACAGGGTCCTAAATTTTGAAATTTTCTCAAAATTTAGGCTGTGCAAAATTCACAGGGTTTTTCACAGGGTGTTTTCTTGTCACAGGGTATTTCACAGGTTTTTCACAGCATTTTCACATGTTTTTATCCAATAGTGACTGATTATACTAGGAAGCGGGTATCATTATTTGAGAAATCTCATGCGTCTTGTTTCATCTTGACTTTGGGAAACCAGGCCCAATTCTGCAGCTGTTCTGTGATGCAGTTTAAGCCAGCATAGAGATTTGGTGAAAAATGTTTTGACCCACGCTTGTCAGAGAGTGTGGACGCAGACAGCTGAATTCTCAAAGTAAGCAGCCAGTGCCATGGGCTCTGCAAGCACTAACTCAACAATGAAGGCGCAAGCCGCTAGGGAGGTCTGAGGGCATGCTCCTCCAGAAAATGTTAATATTTTTAAATGCCCTGAAATGCCATTTTCAGCCCTCTCCAGGTAATTTTTTCTCCAAAATTACTAAATTCAAAGGGAATCATAACATGTTTTACCAGGTACAGGCATTAAATTTCTCATTTGTTTAACCATTTTGAGATCCTTTCAGTCTGTGCACATCAAGCGCTTGTAGAAAGAACTAAAACCACTGCTTTATATGACATTTGTGGTGATCTTAAAATTGAGCAACAATTTTTACTGTACCTACGAAAGCTTGCTATAATAGTTTTCAGAAGATGGCTCCTTTTCCAGGGATATTTATTAAAAACTCCATCTGTGAAGAAATGATAAGTAGAGTAGCTGGCTGAAACTAACCAAACAGGTGGCAATTTGTTGCCAGCAGCCAACTACTTTTGACAACCCTGCTTGAACTCACTGCCATGTCTGATAGCAAGGTTTGGGATAAAATCCATGGCCAGCATTTTTCTGAGCAGCTGCCTGCATCATGGCCCTGCATTACTTTTAGCAAAATAAGTGGATGTGAAGATGTAGCAAATAATTATTGTTCATTGCTTTTATCCTCCGCAAGATCACGAGGACACGACTATTGAGCTATATCTTGCCAATGTAAAGAAAGGCAATAAAATCAAGGCATTATGAAAGTTTGAAGTGGGAAAAGAAAAAAAAAAGGTGAAAATGAGTAAAATCCCACATGCTACATCAAGTTTGAACTGGCAAATAAATAACTTGCTTTGCACATGATGAACAAACTTTTGATGTATCAACAGTCTATTAAACCTCAGTGACATCACTTGTCTACAAAAATAATTAATATTATTACAAAGTACGCTAACTGTGACCCTCTCTTATCTCTCCTGTCTCCTCTGTTCTTTCTGTTCCTTGGTTCGCTGCTTTCTTAGCCTTACGTTTTCTAAATGTCTCCGCTTGAACACATCCCGTTGTCTTCTCTTCCTGTATTTGTGTTTATTCATCTTTTTATGCCTCTTTTTGAGGATACTACTGAAGGCAACAGAAGGTGTTTCTGTCACACCATCACCAATAATTATTAACTTTCCACGTTCACAATCCCCAATACTGGTTTTAGTTGGCTGTTGGAATGGAAAAATCATCTCCAGTATGCTTTGACCAGGAGTTTTGAGTGCGGCCGATTTCTTAAACACCCGTACATTATTGTAGTGTTCTGAAGAAAAAACACTACTTCTGTTCTGCCAAGGTGTGATAGGACTTTGAAGTAATGAGCTTCTAACTGACAACAAAAGGTTTTGAATGGTATCAGCTCCAGTACATTTAGGAGGTAATTTGAGAGGTATGTCATCTTTTGCACCTGGAGGATAACATAATAAAATTAAAAAATTGCCAATGTTGGACCAGGATTAAAAATGTTGTGCAGGAAATGGTGGCAAATTTGAAATGCTGATGTGGATTGACCTCAATTTCACTTCAGGGTCAATTTTAACACATGATCAGAAGAACATTGAAAACAATCAATAAAATTAATGGAAATGAGTATGAATAGAGTTGCAACAATCCCATGTAAGCTACGGTTTTATAAGGCCTTCTGAGTACACCAGGTCTTGAAACTGGTGTAGATTGCAGGCGAGCGCTTTTGATCCGTCGCTGTTTACAACTTCCTTTAGGCTCGTCAGGCTCTGTGTGTTCGATACCATACATTTGAGAACCGAAATAGACTCTGAGGAGCCCACAGGTCCTGGATGAGAAGCGACATCACCACAGAGCAGTAGGAGACCGACAACAAAGTTGTCGAGGTTAGGGTAGTCACGAGTTGAAAGTAGCTTGAGTTTGATAAGCGAATTGTCTGAAAGTAATAAATTGAAGATTCTACTGCTCAACTTCAAGGCTCTACACCAACAATTCCCCTGTCAACAGTTTTGGTAACTCACTAGTCGCCGCCTCTCTGGTCACCTTCTACATTACGCCTGAATCCTGCTTTCATCTGAAGTCCCATGGGCCTAAAGTCTTCGCTTTTTCTAGTTAACATTTTGTGGTAAACGATACAATACAGTTTTTCCATCTACTCTATGTTTTGTGGCAGCCTAACGAACGCCTTTCGGTGAACAGTTTCTTAACTTGGATTTTCGAGTTACAAAACAGCTGCAAGATAGCTTGTGTAGTGATAACTAATTACTTAGTTACTTTAGTAACCTTTCACGTTTTAAGGCAAAAATAAGAGGTATTCTTAATGGACACAACAAGAGCAGTCTCCGATTTTTTACTAAGAGAGATTAACTGGTAGAATAGATTTCTCTTTTTCAGGTTAAGTATTTCAAATAATCANTGGAAACTAATAATTAATAAGCGTCTTTATTATTGAAATCGAAACGGCTAAACTTCACATCCAATTGCGTTGGCCAACCCACATTCTAAATATTAATGCAGGAATAAATAGATATACATGAAGCGGTTCAATCAGAATGTCTCTTTATCACCAGTTCCTTAAGGCACTTGTGCTCGTTTAAAACCCTAAGACCAATTTGAATTATATCTATAAAGTAAAAACCCGGACGACGGCGATGAGACAAGCGAGAGAACGTGAACGAGAACGAAGTCGAGGGGATTATTCAACAATATTAACTGTTGAGCCTGAGATATTAATATTAACTGAGCCTGAAAGCGTTCTCTCGCTTGTCTTATTGCCGTCGTCCGGGTTTTTACTTTATAGATATGATTCAAATTGGTCTTTGGATTTTGAACGAGCACAAGTGCCCTTAAGGAACTCTTGATAAAGAGACACGAACTCCGGTTGAACCGCTTCATAAACTTCTGATGTATATCTATTCATTCCTACATTAATATTTAGAATGTGGGTTGGCCAACGCAATTGGATGTGAAGTTTAGCCGTTTCGATTTCAAAGATAAGGACGCTTATTAATTATTAGTTTCCAGCCTTTGCATTATCTTTATGAACTAGATTTTTTGAACTTAACCAGCAATTATTCGACCAGGTGCGTCGTGCATGTTATTCAAAAAGATGTTTTAATCTTCATTAATGGTCTTAAGTTATTAAA